GAGATCGCATCAGGTTGCAGAAGCTCGTGGAACAGAGGTTAACCAGGATGTGATGCATGCAGCAAACTTCATAAAGTGTCTCATGCTGAATAACACATACTGTATCTGCAACCAGCATCACCATCCATCCCTGTCTGGCTGTGCCACTTCCTACACATATATTTTTAAAAGGTTAGAAAAATATGTCATTGTACCATGAGAAGGTTAAAGCAAGAAAATGTTCTCGTTATAATTATATACTGAGCAAACACGTCTTTGTCTCGGCGGCAGCTGTTTATAAGCGGGTGAACATGTGCGGTGTCGGCATGACAACAGAGATGGAATCACTTCATTAGAATAAATGAGAAAAAAATAAGAACATAAGAACTGTAACAGCTCCGACACTCGGCACAATCTGACACAATGAACACATTAACGGTTGTAACGACAGAGCTGAGACCGGCTGCTCATCGCCGTCAGTGGTTACACCACAGCTGCACCAAACCTCATTCAGTCACCTCGTGAGGCAGAATCCCCACTCCTCCTTTTACGGTTGGAATTCAGAGTAAATCATTATTTTGTGCTTCATGCAAATAAATCAATAAATAGGTCAATAAATAGGCTGAATTACAAGTTAAGACACTGGAAAGAAAAAAAGGAATTTAAGACAAAGATGAGACCACTGGACCAGGCTGTAAGTGCAAAACACTGGAATGATATTAACATTAAAAGTAAACTTTTTTTTTTTCCGTTTACAATATCGAATGTAACATTTCTCAAACTTGGCATCAGAACATGATTTAACTGAATATACATCTATATTTTAAATGAGAAAATAACGTCTTTATCTCAATATAACCTTCTACTTGACTCTGTACTCCGAAAAAAGTATCACAGTATCACAATCAACACGATAACTCCTTTAATTTGTTGTGTTACCACCGTGAAATAAGGCAAGAAGAGACTAAGGCAAATTTCAAAAGCACAAAAACCTTCGACGACACATTTGAAGTGACTGTGGGCCGTGTGGTGGAGACACTAAGACTCTCTTCAGATGGTTTCTGGTGACTGAAGGACGACTCAGCTGCATGATCACACGGTCCTCAGGCAGCAGAGGGATAAAGGACTGAATTAATAAACCGGCTCTAAGCAGTGTTAAAGACGTGATGAGTTTTTGTGGATTATATAAACGGGATTTTTTAAAATTTTTATCATTGAATCAACTGTTCGAACGTGGTTTCAGGTGTTGCAGATTTAGTTCGTCTGTGTAGCAGGTTATTATGACCCATAGTTTTGTTGCTAGGCGACAGGAGCGAAGGGAAAAAGTGCGGTGACGTAGTATGAAGAGAGACAAAGTCCACGTCAGCAGGAGGTTGTGTTCGATTCCCACGTGAAAGTCAGACACCAGGCTGACAGACCGCACACACAGTCTGTTCCCACCAACCGAAGGAGCATCAACCAAACACACCAGACAACACAGGGGGTCGGTGACGACGACCTACTATGGGCTCAGATTAGGGTCAAAAAGCTTGAGACGTGAAATAATTCCAAAGTTCGTAGTTTTTTCAACCTGCAAAATAAATCTGCTTGAATAAAATCAAGTTTGTGCACGTGCAGAAAAAAAAGGATTAAAATCTGAGCAGATGACATCAGCGGTGACGTCACATACAGACTCCCTCAGGAGGGCTCAGACTGAGGAAGTGTCAGAATCACATGTGGCTCTACACAGATCCAGCAGGATCCTGAAGAATGGGTTAACAGAGGAGAGGAACAGTGACGCTTAATCCCCGCAGAGCGTTTTCTGATTTAAGGTTGGCGGGAAAAAGCAAATCCTGCTCCTCCAGATCAGAGCGACAGGTGTGAGGACTGTGGGAGGGGCCGAGCGCCGAGTGTGAAAACCATCTGAAGTGAGTTTAGTCAAAGCCGGGGAGTTTAGCGGGGCAGGAAGAGGCTGGATGTGGACAGCGGATGAAGCTTTGCCACATGTTTAGATCTGCATGAGATCAAACACAAACCAGGTGCTCTCATGTAATTAAAGCTGCTTCAAATGTAGTGTGTTTAAGTGTGTGTGTAAACAGGACGCCGCGTTCAAGAGCCTCGTATGTCAACACATCAACACGTAATCAGACACAGGACTGACCTCAGGGGTTTAACGAGGGGGCAGAGGGGGGGGCGGGGGGGTCAGTGTCTCCGGAAAAACCATCACTTTCACTCTGATCGCGGGACGTTAGAGGAGCGGGAGCGGCCTCGACGTCACGCTGCCTTTCAGCACATTATGACAGGTGAATGGCGAGTGAGGACGGTGAAACGTTAAAGCGGGATGTACAGGCGTCTCCTCAGGCCAGCAGCTTCTCCGGGTTTTTAGAGAGGGTCTGCAGCAGGCTCCTCTGGAAGTCCTCCTCAGGTGACTCAGGGACCAGGAACTCCAGCAGAAGGTCAAAGATACAGTAGACCAGGTGTCTAAGAAAACAGGACCACAACAGTTTTAGTATTGAGCTGATGTGTCATGTCTTTTAAAGCAGGAAGTGTGTCATTAAGTGTCATTTCAGACTAAAGCTGATCAGAAAGATTTAACAGATTGATCATAAATAAATAAATAAATCAGGAGCCAGTTGCATTATGGAGATTTAAGAATTACTAAATTAAAAACTTCTTACATAGAGATGAAGTGTTACAAAATACTTACAGCCAGTAACTACCAGGTGTTTCGTAACTAACAAAACAAACTGTTGGCTTCCTAATGATGTGACTCGATTAGACTGAAAAATAAAATACACTCAGTATATTTGACCTGCAGGGTGTAGACAGGGTGTAGACAGGGTGTAGACAGGGTGTAGACAGGGTGTAGACAGGGTGTAGACAGGGTGTAGACAGGGTGTAGACAGGGTGTAGACAGGGTGTAGACAGGGTGTAGACAGGGTGTAGACAGGGTGTAGACAGGGTGTAGACAGGGTGTAGACAGGGTGTAGACAGGGTGTAGACAGGGTGTAGACAGGGTGTAGACAGGGTGTAGACAGGGTGAAGACAGGGTGTAGCAAAAAACCTCCACAGCTGCTGAATCAAAAGACAAACTGAAGGCGAAACATCTGCCCACTGCACTAAAAGCTAAATGATCGTTTGACCTGGTACTTTGATAAAAAGCTGTTTTAATGATGATTCCAACTGGAGAGATACACAACATAAACACAATAATGTTAGCTGGTTTAGCTTCATCGGATATTTCTCTCTCTCACTCATGCGAACTACTACTATTTGTGAAAAACTAATTTCTCCATGTATGCATAAAGCAATGACTGTTTTAAAAAGAAAGCACTGGTATTTAGGTTTAATATATTATTTAATATATCATTAAAACCCCTAAAGTTTTTGGTTAGTTCGAGTTAAAGCTTGTGATGCTGCCATGACTTCCTGTTAATATAAATGAATGGCGATACTTATGTTGTCTCTGAGCAGCTGAAGTTTTTACCATCTGAGGTGTTCTTTGATTTTTTTAATAATTCAATACAAATGAGTAAAGTGGATCATTTAAAAACATATGTAAAGTGCTTTTTCCAAACCACCTGAATGAGGTGAAGTGAGATCAGCTCCACTCGGACTGTGGGACATTAAAGGAGACAGACGAGCTTTTGAAAATGGTGGAAAAACAGCTGCACTGATGAATGAAGTGTCAGGGAAATGTACCAGTGAAATGATCAACAATAAACAAATGAGGAAGTGGAGCAGGACTGTTGCAGACAGGGTGACGGGCTGAGAATCCAAACTAAGGTTCAGACTCTTGACAAACAGACCCAGAGTGAAAACTGGGCCTCAGTAAACCTCGGTGCATCATTTAGTCCCTGCAACTAAACAAAAAGAACCACAGGTGACATCATTTAGAAAAAGGCACATACTGTCCCTGTCTACATGCATTTATTGTGCAGCAGTTCACAGGCCACGTTACTGTTGACGACTTGACATTTCCCAGGACGTGATTATCAGATGGAGTGAGTTTAAGTCCAGTGAGACTTTAGTGAAGCCGTCTGTCTGAACAAATTCAGTAATCATCAGATTTCAACCATGAAATCAGTTTTTTACTTACTGATTAACAAACGCGGGTTTGGTTAGAATCAGTCGGCTCCACGTTAAGTGGAAGTGACTGATTCTAACTACGGTTTGTTTCCTACATCTGTAAACATTTCAGCTGTTGTTTAGCCGAGGAATCCGTCCACACATTGGGATTCCAGGTGAGTGTGAGTGAGCTCATGCGCCGCCTGACCACACGATTAGACACACCTGGTTGTTAACGCAAGTCAACAAACAATGCGGGAACATCTAAGTACACAAAGCACGCGGAGCTCCATCCAACCTTACAGGAACTGGTTTCTCTGAGTGTTTTTACCTGAAATCTGATTTATTTTTATTGGATCACTCAGAAAACAGTCAGCCAATCAGAAGAGAGGCTCAGAGCCTCCTCTCTTCTGATTGGCTCACTGACCTGTTGTTACTAGAGCTCCAGAGAGAAGCCTGAGAGAGGAGATGTAAAACTACACTGAGATGGTTTTTGGTTCTTAAAACCACAAAAATATCTTCTTATGGATCAAAAACTTCAAAATAAAAGACTTTAAATGTTGCCTATACCATGAATTGCTAATGACTGTGATAAAGTGTCCGGTACAGTGAGTGTATGGCGTAGCACACAGTGTATTCACCTGTTAATGTCGGGGTCTTGCAGAGAGTCCAGTGCAGTCTGCCAGCTGAGTTTGTACTTGTCTGATCCCAACATATCTGAGACCACATCTGGAAAAACACAAACATATGGAGAATTATACACCACCTGTGTGGACTTTTCTGTACGTACACCTCAATCTCAATATATCTGTGACGAGCTACAATAGTCTTGTGATACTGGCGGTGCAGACGTATCAGGTCAGGCTGTGCACATGTACCTGGCAGGAGTCTCATCAGACAGTGTAAGGCTTGTTGCCGGGTGCTGTCCTTCTGCTGCTGACTGCGCTCAAGTTGAGGCGACGAAGGCAGAGCTCCGCCCGGCCACACCGCCTCCTGGATGACCTGCAGGTACACCACCCAGTAGCTTTTGCACATCAGGTTGGCTACGCTCACGTCCAGCCACCTGAAGTTTACAAACACACGACGAGTTAGTTGTTTTCGAGTCAGTGTGAAACATGTTGTGTTTTTTGTGACCTTGGCAACAGTTGTTTAACCTCCCGACTCTAAGGTCTCACAACCGGTAAGTTGTGGTAAGTAAGTTCAGTGAGTTGTGACCTTTTCCTCACGCCTGACCTGACGAGTACCGACTGATCTTGTCCTCAGACCTCAATCCTTTTAAAACGTCGCCCACGGAACTCGTCGCGTTCCCACACGGATTTGAAACTCAGGCTTCAGCGGAGGAGTCCGGCCTGGCACAGCGATCTCACACTGAGCCCGCCTCCCTGAAGCGCTCCACATGACCGGTGGATTTAAGGTCTTGTGATGAGTAAATTCAATAGACTACGTGTAGCTGGGAGACTTTGACCCTTTGGTTGTGACCTGACCTTTTTCCCACCCAGATTTACCCTCTGGGTGGGGGGGGGGCAACGAGACTGGGTGAGGAGGTTATTTAAGGCACAAAGTAAAAAGCTAAAAAACAACATAAATGCATCGATTCATTCAAGACTAAGAAGATGCAGGACATAGTTGCGAGCCTGCAGTCGTCTAAATGACGAGGGAGTAAAATCACGGCGTTCAGGACCGTTTAAGGCCTCGGGATCATTTCAGATCCTGTAAGAGTTTTCCAGGACTTGCAGACACCCTAAAATGTTTAACACTGTGCAGATGCTGTTACGCAATATTGTTTAAAACCTCAGAGCTGTGTTAAAGAGAACCAGGGACCTCCCTCAGGCCTCAATGTTCTGCTTCATGTTCGCTCACTTCATGTGGGCCCTAATGAAGTTATTTCATTAGCTCGCTCTGGCCGGTTACCGCTCTGCTCAGAAACGGGAGGACGAGTGGTGCCAGCCACCATTTTTTGGTTTCCACTATTTTGCATATTTTCACCCTGTGGTATTTTATAATAGTGCGCCAGAAGCCAAAGCCTTAATACTGACGGTGTTTTTGATTCTTCGAGTTGTACGACTGCAAACCAGGTTTCTGGTTTTGGCCGACAGGAAGTGGAACCTGACGAGGGTCTTCGGCTGTTGTCGTCCATCCACCTCAAGGTTGGACGTGTTGTTCACTCTGAAGCTTTTCTGCTCACCACGGTTGTAAAATAGTGGTTATCTGAGTGACCGCAGCCTTTCTGTCAGCTCCAACCGGTCGTGACCAGTCTTCTCTGACCACTGGATGTTTTCTGCTTTTGGCTCCAGACCGAGGAAAAACTCTGGAGACTGTTGTGTGTGAAAATCCCAGGAGATGAGCAGCTCAACAGACGTAGCAACAGAGACTATGGGTGAATAAATATAGATATTTAAATGCATTCAGAAGTGAATGTCAGGCGTTCAAGCTGGTAAGGAGAAAGACGGGGGGGGTGTAGCGACTACTGTCCACAGAATAAAGCTGCTACGAGGCGAAGTCGGCTCTTAACTGCAACGTCTTCGTACAAATCTAAACTTTAGTCCAGATGAGTTTTGATTCTGTTTATTAAACAACCACAGGGAAAATATCGGAGCCCCACTCACCCCTCGTCGTCTTAATCCCGCCCAACAAGTAAGATGAGCTTTATTTATACTGCACATTTCATTCCAGGTGGAAACTATGTGGACAGTGTAAAGATAAAACATGAGACACATAGTTTGTATGGATTAAAAACCATTAAGAAAATAAAATAATTAAGGCCGATAACAATCGATCAGTAATAAAGATATGTAAATTAAAAACATTAAAAAGTAGGAATGACACAACATTGTGATAATTGAGGTTTAGTTACTATTATCACAATATTTCTAAAGACTAAAATATGACTTACATTCATTTACAAGTCAGTGGTTGGGAGTTGTGGTTAAACTCTACCATGGCCTGTGAGGTCCATATGACTCCAACAATTACCACATAATTTATGCCAAGCAAGTAAAGAAATCTGTCTTCAGCTGTAATAAAGATAATAAAGATAATTAACACCACATAAATAACAGCAGGACTGTCAGCTAGTGCTTGACAAATAAGGACAATCATTTTCTATGTGGTTATATGTGGAGACAATTAACAACTGGAGACCTTTAACAGATGGGGGCAAATAAAAATAGTGTCGCAGTGTTTTCTCAGACACAGATTGAGCTGGTGTCTGAATCCAGCTTCACACTTCAGTTTAAATTAACATGCTGACACTGTCTGGTCTGGGATCTGATTCAATTGAAGGCACCCAGCAGATGGACCGTTCGACATGTTCCAGGTTTGACTCTGTTGACACAGATATGATAAAAGAAAATGAAATACATGCCAAAGATACCAGACAACGATTGGTAAAGGCCTAGCGGGAATTACTCATTATAATCAGGGCTCCACTGTACAACACGTACGAGTTAAAAGGATGCAGATGTTGCAGGATAATTTCGTTGAGATTGATATCTACAAAACGCCAATATCCACTCCTGTGCACCTTTGTAGGAAGTGTTCAAATAGATCTTTGAAGGCTAAAGAAGACGTTAGTGCTCAATGAGACACTTGTTGATCTACTGCGAGTGAACTTCCTATCAGCAGCATCACGCCACTGTGGCAGGATCATTAGGAAACAGACACCCTTCGTATCAGTTAAAGAGTTATACAGCATCATTTAGGACACGCCAATGACCTGCACCTCAAATTGCATCCGCAGGTAAATGTTGGAACCTGAGCTTTAACCCAACCAGTTGTCTCAGCCTCAGCTCAGCCTTACCCGAACTAAGATGAACCTAACTGAAACCCTTCCCCTGATCACGGAGGGCGGCGCCACAGGAAACACACGCTATTCAACAGATTTCAACATAAGACCAGTTCCACTTTGGGTCCAGGTCCCGACTGGCTACAAACCAGGATTCACTAAACTCTGACGCCAAAAGATCTCCGATCAAATCTCTTTTAGCTGTAGCTAATTAACATGAATTCATAACAGACAAAATGAAACGTGGCTGTTGTCTGCGCTCGGCCAAAGATTGTTTATCGGTGAAATGAGGCATCACTCTGTAACACCACTCTCTGACCGCGAGTGAACCGTGTGTTGTCGTATCCAACGAGACCTTCGGAGAGGAAACTAAAGAAATGATAACATCAATTCAATTTCACATAATCTCCTCTTTAAACTTTTATTTAAATCCCATCAATATTTTAACTCTTACCATATTCATAGCTCTGTATCTGTGCCTCCAGTATTTAGAGCGAGCAGTTTGTAGAATTTTATTTTGTTATGTTGTATTATTTATATTAAAGGTATTATTGTATTATTATGTCTCAGGTATATACACACACACACACACACACACATATATATATATATATATATAAATATAAGAGATGCTGCCGCTAAACAGCAGTTCAAATATGTGTTTGTCACATGCCAAAGTTCAATGTCCCGTAAGCAAAGCAGTATGATCTCATGAAAAATATCACATATAGCAGGAAATATCACAATATCATTTTCTGCCCCAACAAAAGCTGGTTAGGGATCTAGTTTTCGTTTTTTTTTTTAATATCTTTGGTTACTTGAAAAGCTAAAGTTGGAAGCTAAACTTAAAAATTTGCACTTAAAGTTATAATGTGGAACTTTTCCACGTTAAAATGTCTAAAAACAACTCGACCTATGTTCGATATGTTGTTGAGTTTTGTTCTTACATTATCTCAAATGTTTCCATCAAAACTGTGATTTTAATCACGGTAACGCCCTGTTTCATTTGCGTTGGTGAATCACTGATTTTTGTTTGTTGTGGAGAGGACGACACCTCTGTGGATCATTCAGCTGCTGGTAAAAACCTCCTGAACGTCTGGTTCATGAGTGATCAGTTATCAGTTATCTCAGCTCCCAACTCTTCCCTGACATCTCGTGTCCGCCGTGTAGCATCAGCGAAACACTGACTTTAAATGTTAAACTGTTTTACTCCGTAACTTTTTTAACGGTTGTAATCACCGGGTGTGTTTGTTGTGAAGAGGAGGAGAGCTGAGGAACTCCTGAACGACTGACTGAATCAAACCAGGAGAAGCTGATGGTAACGGGGGTTAATAAGCAGTTTTGACACTGGATTTCAGGTGTAATAAACCTGAGCGTGTTTGCGTGTCAAAATAAAAAGTTGCTATCAAGTGGAACCAGTTTCCCCCACAGCACAACTTTTTACATTCGGCACCAAAGACTTGAATTAGCAGCAGACTGGTGCACACGTCACAGCCTGTGACAGATTGACAGAACTCGTTGCCTGTTTCATCTCACAGTAATGAACAGCATCAGTTTTTTACTGGACCCAGTGACACCGGTTCACACTTCCCCTGCAAAACCCCTCAAGATCTGAAACATCTGAAACAGGACAGACTCGAGCTCGGAGACAGGATGTGGAGTCAAAAAGCAGCAAATAAACACATCACATATTTAATGGCCGCTGTCTGAGCGAGTATATCATCACTCACACTGACAAGTCTGTCTGTTATCTTATATAACCTCCATATACTTTAGCTGCAGGCAGAGTCTCATGAGTACAGTACACTCCTTCCCATAAAAACATCAGACCTCTTTTCAACACATGGAAACATGAGACAATAAACAGGATGAGCGCGGACAAACCTGCTCTGAAAAAAAACGAGTGGAAAGTTAAAACACAGACTGTTCATGAAGCCGTGAGTTAAACGTCGAATCTGTGACTGTAACACAGTGCTATTATTATTTCCATCATGTTCTTTTACATTCTTCTTTTTCACTGTTTGTGTCATATTGTTGCGTCCTCTTCTTTCGCAATGATGTGATGGTGCCCAACTGGAAAATCAGCGCCAGCGACTGTTGATTCCTTATATTCACCTAATGGTAGCGAATGGACTGGTGTCTTAATTTGCATTTTCTTTTGCAGATTTTCTCCAAATTCAGTTTAAATTTAAGATATATTTGGATGGAAACCCAGTTCATGAGAAGCCAGGAGTCAGTCTGTCGCTTCCTGCTGGGTAGTAAACACTAAGGCCTCGTCC